CAGCCGGCTGGGAATCAAACCCGCGCTGCAGAGGCTGTGGGCAGCTTCACAGCGCAGTGCTCAACCGCCTGCGCCACCGGGGAGGCCCCGAAAGGGTGCTTTTGTCTGCACAGAGCAATGTTAGGTTCATCTGAGTTGTTCATTGCAGAGTAATCTGAGGCTTACAGACAAGTTGTGAATGCAGTTTGCAGTTGTCGGAATGTTTGTTTCTTGCCTACCAAAAAGTTGCTGGGGTTTCCCCTCAGACACAGGAACAGCTTCCAACTTAACCATCAAAATCGGAAAACGATGCTGATAAATGACTGGGATCTAGTTCTGAAATCCCACTTCCTGGTCACGCTCCGCAGTGCAGAAAGCCGGGGTCACAGCTCTTGCCCGGCCCCTCTCCCCCCAGCAGGAGCGGAAGCCGTCCCCTTGGCCTTCACGATTTGCGGTCTCGGAGAGACCAGTGTCCCATTGGCCAGGTCTGGACTCATTGGGATCCTTGTGGTTTGGTTTGGGTCACACGTCACCGTCAGGAGTGTCCCACCAGGGCCGTGCCCGGCGCTCGCCCACCACCACGGCTCGTGTGCTCTGCCCGCGCCCTTGGAGGGTGTCTGCCTTTCGTGTGGAGTCATGTTAAACCAAGCAAATATCTTGTTCCCGATCAAAGTTTAAATTCATCCATTTAGTTACATGGAAAGGACGCATGGTTTTATATACTCCTCAGTGGGTTATAATCCCTTACTATCAGTACTTATTTTTTAAAGATTTATTTATTTATGCATACAAGAGCTGGGGTACAGGCCAGAGATGTGGGGGGCTGAGAGGATTCCCCAGAGACAGAGCAGGAAACAGAACAGGCAGACTGACGAAGTACACTGCTGAGGGGAGCAGCGGGCGTGTCAGGAGAGGTCTGCTGTGCCCTGTGGGATTCTCCCTGGCCGGCCAGGGATCAAACTCGTGCTGCAGAGGGTGGCAACAGCTTCATAGTGCGGTGCTTAACCCCTTGCGCCACCAGGGAGGCCCTATCGTACTTATTTTAAAGATCAAATTCTATCAGGACAGACCACTGAGACAACGTCATGGACAGCTGCTTCCTTCTGGAAGTACAGACTGTGCTGCTCACAGGCCCCCTCAGAGGGCGGCAGCGCACACGCTCGTGGGCGCGGGCAGGAGATCAGAGCACGCATCACCGTGGATGTCCACGTTACATGTAAATGTCGAACTATAAATACATAAAAATCATGTGCAGGAAACATTTTCATATTTCAAAGTTTTCTTTCTATTTTGTTGATCTTATTTATATTTGTACGGACGAAAACCATGAATTCACACCAGCACTTCCACTTTCGTCCCAACACTGCGTCACTCTGGTTTCCTCCCGTGCACGTGGCTCCTCCCTCCTGCCTTGTTTTCGCTACAACCACCAAAGTGGCCCAGGTCCCCGCGTGCCGTCCGCCTCGCCCCACCCCGGCGCTGACAGCAGGTTCTGCGCCTCCTCCGGGCGGGCCCCTGGGCTGGGCTGCCGCACCCCAGTCCCCCTCCAGAGACACTGCATGATGGCGGCGAGCCCAGTCCCCCCCGCATGTCGGAGCCGCACCCACGGCGATGTCTGTGGCTCCACACCCGCAGCCGTGGGGCGCGCCCTGTGGTGGCCGCGTCGGAGGGCACGTGTCCCTGGCCCTCGATCGACGCTCCTGTGGCGAGTGTGCCCGGGACCCTGAGTGCCAGCATGCTCCGCTGATGCTGTCCGGGGGAGGCCGTGGCCGGCGCCTGCCTTGAAACGAGCCTGGGAGTGTTAAGGAAGGACAGGGAATGGGGAGTCGGTGCCGGTCACGCCCAGCCGGCCGGCGCCCCCGTCCTGGGGAGGTGGACGTGCTGCCGGAGCGTCCACTTGCAGAGCTGGGAGCCCGGCCAGCCTCGAGGGAGGCCGAGACGACCTGAACTCTGGAGACCAGACAGAAGCTCGTCCCCCCCAGCCCCACGACAGGCGCGGCCCACGCAAAGCGCCGGCGCCACGGGGTCCCCGTGCTGCTGAGATGCCTCCCGCCGCCTCCCGGCCGGCCCCCTTCCACGGGACCCCCGACTCGGGGACACCCCAGCCTGCTTGGACTCCAACTCCGCTCCCGAGCCGCCTCCTCAGAGGAGTCCGTAGGCGGAGGAGGTGCCAGGAAAAGAGAAGCCCGATCCGCCGAACCCCGGGGACAGGAGGGCGGGAGAGAATCTGAAGTGTCCGGGCTAGCCTCGCGGTGTGGGCCCTGGAGGAGGCGAGTCGTGGAGCGCAGGTGTCGGGGGAGGCGCGTCGAGGGTCTGGAGGGAAAAAGCCGTCAGCTGCGGGCACAGCTGGCATTTCTGGAGCCGGCGCGCTGCTGTCCCCGCAGAAGGCCGCGTGGACGCTACAGGACTGGTCCTGCACGTCGTGGGCCTCTTCTTTACCTCCCGCCCCTCGCGGGTTCTCGGGGTGTGGGTGGCATCCACGGGAAGCCTCAGCGACCCCCTGTTTTCTTTGAAGCGAGCCTCAGGCTTCCTGAGTGTTCCACCCTGCGGTGCCTCGCGTGGCTCCCCCAGCTTTCGGGGTGTCTTCTTGCGTCTCTGCACAAAAATGAAACCAAACAGAAAACCCGACAGCTCCACGGAAGTTCTGTCGAGGAGCGCGCCTAACCCGTCCCGAGGTTCAGGCTTTCCGTCAGCCTCGCGGCGTCGGGGGTGTCCAGCCGGCGCCGGGCAGTCACCTCAGCGAGGTCTCCAGGCTGCTGGCTCCTCACGGCTCGGTTTTTCTTCACGATCCGGACGGGGCAAGAGGCGCGCAGGCCCCACGCCACGGAGTCAGAACACGCAGCGGCCTCCGCGCTGAGCAGCTCAGCCCCCTCCGTGGCCCCAGGCCCAGCCCACCCGCCCTGGCTCCCGGCAGGACCCCGAGGTGCCCGTGCTCGCAGATCACCGGGAATTTCCTCCGTTCTTCCTTCCCTGCTCCCCGCCTTCCTGTCCTCATCTCGGTGAGCGCGTGGTCTCGAGAGGAAGGAAGGTGCACAGAGACCGGCCTGGCCTGTTCCCGGCCATGGCGCTAGTAGCGCCTGCAGGCTCTGGACTGAGAAATCCATGACTGGCAAGTCACACCCCGACGGGAACCTCGCGCTGTGCGTGCACTTCCCTGAGCTCTGTCTGTACCGGAAGCTTCTGGTGTTTTCCTCTAGTTCAGATCCCTGTGCCTGACGCCTGCCTGTGCCTGGTCTCAGGGTGTGGAGCCGCTTCTGCCGCTTGCTCTTTTTTCGCAGACCCCCCTCCTTGGTCGAATTCTGGAAGCGGCATCCGCGGCTCCCCCCGGGCCTCAGGGCTGTGAAGCTGCTCTGCAGGGTCCTCCAAGGCCACGCACACGCTCAGGCCTGTGTCAGACCCCCCGGGACATGCGGGGGAGAGCCCAGCTTCGGCAGCTGCGCCCTGGGGGCTCTTGGATGGCGACAGGTGCGCCTCTCCGGGGAGCTGTCGGGCCTGGGGCTGCCAAGGGGCTCATGAGAGTTCTGTGCTCCGCCCAGTCGTGCTGTGAAGCTAAAACTCATCTGAAAATGTCGCTTAAAAAGCGGGGAAAGGGTCAGATAAAACCCAAGCAGTGGGGCGGGTGGGGGTGCCCGCCGTGGACGCGGGTGCGGGACTGTGTGGCCTCCGCGGTGGGCGTGGTGCGGTCACACGCCCGGAGGGCGCCCTCTCTACTGTAAATCGTAACAGGGTTGCAAGCGGGCGTCCCCTCAAAACACGTAGGGCACTCAGTGAAACAGCACGTGAATCACAGGGTTAGGGCCACGGGCTGCTGCTGCCAGCTGCGGGGCTCCAGCGCGTCCCAGCCTGTGACGGGCCCTGCGCTGGCGCAGCTGAGCGGGAAGGAAGGTGGGGCGCACTAGCCTGGGCCCGGCGTGCCGGCCGTGGGGTACGGGCCCGCCTGGGGAGCACTGACCTGTGCCAAGGGGGCAGAACAGTCTGTGCCGCGCCCCTGGGAGCTGTGCCGCTGTAGGCGTCGAGGTGTGACCGGGAGGCAGAGCAGGGAAACAAGCGGGGATGATGGTTCCAGAGAAAATGACTCAGGACGCCTGTTAGAGAGCAGCCGGGGGGCTCTGCCTGGAGGGCTTTGCCGCTCGGGGAGCGTGGACTCACCTGCCAACACAAGAAGTGGGGCCTGTCGCCCAGGACCGGGGGGGGGGGGGGGGGGGGGGGCGGGTGGGGAGGGAGATGCCGAGGGCCAGGGTGATCTTGGGCACTGACCTACTGGGATTTTTATGGAAGGCAGAGTAACTGGGGGGGTCAGTTACTCCCTGGGAGTCCTGGGGGGTGAGGAAACTGGTCAGACCCAAGGCAAGGGCACCCAAAGAGGGGCTTAGGCTGACTGGAGGTGGGCCAGGGGGGTTTCTGCAGGGGCTCCCTTTGGGAAGGGGTATGAGGCAGTAGAGGGGGGCTTTATAAAACCCCGATATTTTTACACTTGACCTTAATAGATGGAGGATCATTACATGAAATATTTTTTTAAATGCAATTTCTTTTTTTCCCCCAAGATTTATTTATTTATACAAGTACTGGGGTACAGGCCAGAGGCGCGGGAGGGTGAGAGGATTCCCCAGAGCCAGAGCGGGGAGCAGAGCAGGCAGAAGGACCGAAGCACACTGCTGAGGGGAGCAGCGGGCGAGGCGGGAGAGGTCTGCGCGCCATGTGGGTATTTCGCTGGCCGGGCATCGAACTGGTGCTGCCAAAGTCCTCTAAGCTGTCGGAGTGGCAGGCAATAGCTGGATAGTGCTGCCTTTAAACCCTGCGCCACCAGGGAGGGCCATGTATTTTAGATTGTTGCCAAAAGGAAAACCCAATGCGGGATGCACAGGCCGTCCGCAGGGGTCAGAGCAGCAGGAAGGGCTCCTCCCGGCCCGGGAACCTGGAGGAACCCGAGTCTCCCTGGGAGGCTAGGAGGAATCTTCTGGTCAAGATACTTACTTCGAGTTTCCTGCTCTTTCTAAAAGAAAAAAATCATCTTCTCGCAGGTTCTGTGTGCCGCGCTGGGCAGGAGTCGGAACCACCCCCCGCCTCGTCTTGTCAGCAGCGGGGCGCCCCCTGACGGTGAGCCTGCGAGTCCTTCCTCCAGCCAGGCGCCCAGTGAGGGGCCCCGGGGCTCACTTCCCCCCTTCTGTCTTCTGGCAACCCTCACCCCGCAGTCAGGGCACTTCCAGATGCTTTAGAAGCCGCGTCTGCCCTCAGACCCCAGTGGGAGGCCGCTGAGCCGTGTGGGGTCCCCGAGGGGCGTCCGGCAGAGCGCAGGAGGCCCGTGTCCCCGGGTGCAGCAGGCGGCAGGCGCAGGCCCAGGGGTGGTCCCCCACTGGGAGAACTCAGGCCCCGGGTCCAGTTCAGGCATCCCTTCCCGAATGTTCCTCCTGTGAAGTCACAGCCCCCTCCGGGCGCTCTCTTTCCCGCAGAAGTGACGGTCAGCTACAGGCACGGCCTGCCCCTGCTCACGCTCACCCTGCCCTCCCGGAGGGAGCGCTGCCGGTTCGTGGTCAAGCCCATGTCCGCCACGGTGGGCTCCTTCCTCCAGGACCTGCAGGACGAGGACAGGGGAGTGCGGAGCGCGGCCATCTGCTCCACAGGTACCGCGGCTCGGGCCGCGCGGGCGTCCTCTCTCTCCTCGCCCGTGTTTCCTGAGCCTCCCCGGAAGGGGCTGATGCTTCCATCCATGGGCCAGTGACGGTTGCCTTGACTGAGACCTTCCTTTTTATGCATCAGTAATATATTTAATAATCAACCGTTGAACACAGAGTTAATGAAATAGGAGTCGGGCAGGTTCCGGTGATGGATTTCATAAACTTAGCCTGAAAGGTTTTGAGAAAATTTGAATGCACATTTTCAGCAAAATTTGAATCATGGAAAACAAAGCGCAGTTTCGCCGATTAAAATAGCCAGTGAATAATTATGATATATAACTCGTTCGTTTATGTCTGTTATAAAGCCGTTGTACTCTAGGCAGAATAAGTTTAGACAGAATAAGTTTCCAGAAAAGTGTGTATTTATTTATTTTTATTTTTTTTAATGATTTATTTATTTGTACAAGCACTGGGTACAGTCAGAAGCGCGGGAGGGTGAGAGAATTCACCAGGGCCAGAGCGGGGAGCAGAGCAGGCAGAAGGACCAAGTACACGGCTGAGGGGAGCAGCGGGCGGCAGGAGAGGTCTGCGCGCCAGGTGGGACCCTCCTCTGGTGCTGTAGAGGCTGCGGGCAGCTTCACAACCCAGCGCTCAACCACTGCGCCACCGGGGAGGCCCCAAAGTATGTATTTAAATACCACCAAGAGGTAGCGATTTAGACATTTTAAATTTAGGAGGCGGCTTTCACGTCCTCACGGTCTGAAATGGTGTTGGACTCACAGAGCTCAAAACAGAATAACAGATCTTTTATCCTAACCCCTCATCAGAGACTGCCACGCTAGAGAAATGAGTAAGTTGCCCCGGTTATGTCACTGGAGTGTGACATGCTGAGAGTCAGCTCATGCAGAAGCTACTGATTACTGCTCCGGGACATACTCTGCTTTCCAAGATGACAACCAATTAAGGGAGAGACAAGTTGGAAAAATGACGGCTACAGGATTTATTTCGTAAACATCTAGATATTCACTGAGCACCTCACCTGAGCCGGGACAGCGGTGTAGCCGCCCAGCGCTAAAACCCGGCGCCTTCACGTTGCTTACATAAAGACACAGCGTGGCCGGCGAGGCGCGCGTCCCTGAGTGTGAGCTGGGGCAGGTGCTCGCTGGGCTGGAAGCAGGCCCTGCAGGGAGCCGGCTATGTGGACGGAGGGAGGGCCCGGCCCCCCCGGGGCCCAGACTCCACATGCTGAGAGGGCCTGTGCGGGGAGGGGGTGCAGGCTCGGGGAGGTAATTGAAAGGATCTCGGATTGAAACTGGAAGGGAAGCTTTCTTCCTGGGAAAACTAGGTCAGAGAACAAGGTTTTCAGTCCTGTGGCCTTGTAAGGGTGGGGGGACATCCCCCCAGCACCCCTGGCTTCTTCTCAGCTGACTGAGCAAATGAAGATCAGGCAGAGTCGTAGGAGAAGAACAGATTTCAGTATATACCCACGGAGACGCTACGTGCCTGTGGATTCTGAAGCCGGTGGTGCAGAATGAGGGCACCGATGTTCTGAGCGGAGGAACGGGGTGGGGCGGGGGCTCCGGGGAGAGCGGAGGGGCTCACGCGACAGGCGGGGTGACACATACACTCAAGACCCGATGCTCTGGGGTTAGACCTTGGCCCTGCCGTGTACAGATTTCGCCAATAGAAAGGTGATTTCTGGGTGAAACTTCCCAATTTTCATTCTTTCACGGAGTTAAAATTCCTCTAAAAGCGCAGGGCTCGAAGGGACCTTAGCTCCCAATAACCCGCCTGCCACAGTGACCCGTCTTGCAGCCTGGCCTGGACGTCTTGGGTCAGCCCTTCTGTCACATGCCGCGGTGGCCTCGCGCTTCCTGCCTGACCTAGGGACCCCCCCCCAGCCCCGAAGCACTGGGTGTCTGCGGGCCGGCCTGAGCCTCCGGGAGCCGGACACAGACCCGGTTCCGGAGGGCCCTGGGCAGGCCGCCTGCCGGGTGCCAGAGAAGTGCTTGTAAAGTGCATGAAATGAGAGGCTTAAACCATCACCGGAGCTCACTTCCAGAAATCATTTGAGTAGCTTTGAAACCTAAAGCTCAGGAGAACAGTCAGACTCTCGCGGGGACTCTGTGGACTGAGTGGAAACACCCGGTCGGAGCTGATGAATCGGCCCTGGCCCGGGAACACGGGCACAGTCACACGATGTCTTTAGCCTCCTTCAGACTGTCTCAGGTCAGCCTTTTGCTGTTGACACGTGCGTGGAAAGGGTAACGCGTGTGCGTGTGGGTGTGTACACAGGCCTGGTTGGAAATCACGTAACTGTAGGTTTTTAATGACACCTGCAAAGTCAGATAAAACGATGGGTGTGTTGATGATCTCGGTATAAAGAGACTGTGGGTGGGATTTGTCTGCTTTTAATTTGGGCTTGAAAAGAATCTTCTCAGCTTGTCACGGTTTTGCCCATAGAGTAGGTGGAATTATTTGGCAATTCTTGGGAAAATGATCTCACCCCAGCTGATGAGCAGGAATCCAAACAGCCCGATTGTAGGCACGGGCCAGGTGCAGACTTGACTTGCTGGAAGGAGAGCCCTCTGGAGAGCAGCCAGCAGGGAGGCCGCGGCCGCGGCGGCCACTGACTGTGCCCCCGTCACACGGCGGCCAGGCCAGGCGGGATCTGAGCCCGCAGATGCGCTTGGACATCAGAAGGCGTGAGCTAGACACACCGCTGCCCAGCTGCACCCTGCGCTTGCATCCGGAGACTTTGCTTTCTTCACAGCAGGGCTGCAGTGAGCGCGGAAATATGGAAACAGCAGGCAGCCCGGATGAGAAGCTGGGTAGAGCCCGCCTAGGTTAGAAATTTTTTTTCAAAGATTCATTTATGCATACAAGAGCTGGGGTGCAGGCCAGAGATGCGGGGGGTGAGAGGATTCACCAGAGACAGAGGCAGGAACAGAAAAGGCAGATCTACTGAAATACACTGCTGAGGGGAGCAGCAGGCGAGGCAGGAGAGGTCTGCTGCGCCATGTGGGTAGCTCCCTGGCCTGCGGGGGATCGAACTCATGCTGCAGAGGCTGAAGATTGCTTCATAGTGCGGTGCTTAACCCTTTGCACCACCAGGGAGGCCCTAGGTTAGAATTTTATAAGAGGTTTTCATTTGTTCCTAAATGTTGTAAAGACACTTGAACTACTACGGGGATGTCTCCGCCTCCCTGGCCTGCACGGGGTAGACTGCTCACAGGGGGACTCGCCCCCCGCCACCCCACCCCCGCCCCCACAGTTCTCTCTTCATCTCTCCCCAGCGGAAAGGGAGGGAGCCTCGAGAGGTGGCGCTTGGTTGTTGCCGTCCGCGTGTTTAGCGCAGATCCATCACGTCAGTAATCACAAATAAGACAAGGGCAGGCTTAGAACAACGTCGTCACCTTGGTGCCCGCACGTAGTCAGGGATGTGGCTGGGAGGGCAGAAATGGCCTGCGCGGGGCGGAAGGGTGTCGGCAGGCGCTGAGGCGGGGCCTGACAGAAAGGCAGGGGCACGGGAAAGCAGCAGGCGGCCCGGAGGGCAGGTGTCAGGGCACAGTGACGCTGGCAGCTGTGAGGGAGCCTGGTCCAGTGTAGGAGGAAGTGCAGCAGCACACTGTGGGGTGTGGGGGAGGCCCCCAGAGGGCATTTACCCGGCACTGTGTAAAAACCTGGCCGAGAGTTTTTCCCGTATGTTGGAAAATGGCTTTTGCTCTTAAACAAGAGCTTGAATTTTTTTTTTTTTTTTTTTGCCTTCTGTTTCCTCTTCCAGATGGCAGTTTAATTCCAGCTTCAACCTTGATGGACATTTTGCTAAGGAATGATTTTAAACTCGTCATCAACAAGATAGCATACGACGTACGGTGTCCCCCGCAAGGTAAGGGGCGCGCGGCACAGCCACCTCCGCCGGCCCCACGGGCGTGCGGGTCATGTCAGCGGGCGGCTGGCGGCGCCGCGCAGGCTTCCCATGCGGGGCTGTCCAGGGCCAGCAGCCGGTGCCCAGCAGGCTCTGCCTCGTGTGCTCTGTGTAGACGTCGTGACCCCTCACTCTGGGGCCTGCGTGCTCCCCGCACGTCGCTGGGTAACCGAGGCAGGCCTGGAAGCTGAGTCGGGTGCAGGTTCCCTCCTCGAGGTCTCGCGAGCGCGGCTCCATCAGTGGGTGCTGATCCAGCGGGTGTGTGGGTGGTGCCGGATGCCACTGGTGTGTTGGTGGCACAGCTGTCGCTTAGCCTTGCGGGGCGGCAGCCTTGGGAGCGCAGGGGTCGAGGAAAGATCTCGCAAAGCCCACGTGGAGGGTGAGGCGCCTAGAGGGCGACACTGGAAGCACCACGCAGCCCGGCCAAGGCAGTCTCCCGGGCGTGAGCCCAGAGGGCCGGGGCGGGGCGGGTCCACAGGGCGGGTCCACCCCTGGGGAGCAGTCACTGGGGTGGAAGCTGCAGCACTGAGCCCCAGCGCTGGCCCCCCACGGGTTGGTGTCTCCTGAAGCTCAGCATGAACTTTGCCGACGTGCGGGCAAGAAAGCAAAGAGGCAGATTTGTCTAGAGAAAGAAACAGTTTATTAAGGAGAGCGGGAGCAGAAAGCACGCGGGATTCCCAGGCCGGGGAAGCAGGCCAGGGAGAGGCGAGGAAGCGCCGCGGAGCCGTCTCAGGGAACACGGACCTTCTGGCCCTGATGATGCTCAAGCGCCGCCAGCCCCTCGGTGATCGGGCAGCTCTCAGTGTCTCCCTGTCTCCCTGTCTCCGTGCCCAGAACGCAGCGTCTGTCCCGGCCCTCATCGTAGCATCCTTTTCTTCACCGCCCTTGTCCAGGGTCATCCAGTGCCCCAGGCCCCGGGGCATTGGATTCGCCCCCTGTGGAAAGCGGTGTCCTTCTCTCTGGAGCGGCCCGTATTCCTTGCTTCCCTGCTCTCAGAAGCCTCTGACCCCCCAAGCCGCTGCCTGCACTGTCCCCCACTGCCTGATGACCCCTCGCCTGCCCAGGGGCTGTGGCCTGGGGGCCTCCAGGGTTCCAGCTGGTCAAAGCCAGTGATGTCTGTGCTAGGATCTGCCTGCTCTTCTCGGCCCACACTGGATTCCCAGTGAGTTCCTCACACCAGCACTTTTGTGCATGGTGACAGGCGCCCGGCAGGAGCCTGCACCTAGCTGACAAGCCGGAACTCGGGGCCCCAAGGCAGTATCCCCGGGAACGAGGGAGGCTGGGGATCCCACGCGCAGTCATTCACTTGTGTTAGTGCGTGACTGCCCCGTCTCGGTCTAATTCCCATCCCGAGGCGTCTGGGAATTTTGTTTCTGGGCAGTTAGTTCGGTCAGTCTGCACAGACGGCCCTGCTGCTGTCCCTGCTCTGACTGTGCCCGCCGATCCCGGGGCTGGGATCACGTTGCTGATTTGCAGACCGGGGTTGGGGGGGGCTCCCCTTTTCCTGGGAACCACCCTGTCACTGTCTCATTGTCTTTCTCAGTGACCCTGAGTGGAGCCTACCATGTATTTGATCTTTTCAAAGAACCAACTTTTTGGTCTCATTGATTTTACACCCCTGGCGTCACTGACGTGCTCCAGTTTTGTTCCCCTGCTTGCCTTGGCTTCAGCTTGCTTCTCTCGTTCAAGTTTCCTAAATGCCCCGTTCAAGGAAAACAACGAACGCGTTCGGTAACTTCAGACTGTCTGCAGGACAGGGATGAGTGGGATCCCCCGGCCTGTCTCGCGGGCCCCTCAGCGGGCAGCACTGGGCGCCCCCGCAGGACGGAGTGGTGACCGCCTGGTGCCTCCCGTGTCCTTCCTCAGCGCCGCCGAGGGGGGAGCCCACTGCTGAGACGGAGCGCGTGAAGTCCCTGGTTCACAGACTGTTCACGGCCTTGCACTTGGAAGAGCTTCAGAAAAAGAGAGAGCACCATTTGCTGCGCACGATCAGCCACCTGAAGGCCCAGCTGCAGCCCCTGGAGCAGGTGAGGAAGGACGCGTCACACCTCAGTCTGCTTGGAAGTAGGACCTAACGGCCAGCGTGCTCTCCACGTGGCCTTTGCCCACGTCCTTCACGTGGCCCCTTGTTGCCTTTCGCCCTCAGCGAGTGCCCAGGTCGCTGTCACCGTGTGCCGGCAAAGTGCCTCCCCGGGCGCCAGAGCTCAGGCCCGGGCCTGCCTCGCGGACTCAGCTGGGGGTCTGCGAGGGCTGCCTGGCTGGGGGAGCAGGTTGATGGGGGAAGAAGTAACTTTTGGGGGGGAAAGAGGGAGTCTGTTCCAGGTGAAGAACTGCCGCTTTTTAGGCTGTGGTCCCACTTGGCGTATGTTTGTGGGCAGATGGTTGCACGTACAGAGCGGCTACCTCCGAAGGCAGTCGGGGCGGGCCGGCAGAGGGGGCCTTCCTGGTTGTTGGATGGTGCGTGTGCTTTTCACGCTCCAAAAACTGGTCATTTATATTTACCAATATTAAAACGTGAAAAATCTGAAGAGGCCCGACGGAAACCCGTCCCCACCCATCCCGCGACCCTGCCCCACGGCTGTGGGCCACACCGCAGGCGTGGGCCCCTGTTGGGAGTGCGCAGGTGCACACAGCGCCCACTTGCTTCACTGACAGCGTGTCCTTGAAAGACCCCGGCTCCGTGCAGGAGCCCTGCCCCGTCACAGCTGCAGGACAGCTGGATGGCTGTCAGGGCTGGTTTCTGGCCTCGACGCTGAGGGATGGGGCTGGGTGGGGGTCGGGGGGGCCGGCCCCCAGCACCGGCTGAGCTTTCAGGCAGGTTTCAGAGCAGGACTGCTGACTTTGCGTCAGAGTTGAACCTTCTAGACTAAGAGCGCTTTTCACCCACAAACACGTTATTACATTTTTAAGTAAAAACTGATGAACTCATCAGGAGGTAAGAGCCCTTACTGTATGCTTTATAAGGTGTTTTTTCCCAAAGCAGACGTGCAGTACTTTGCTGCAATGTTTCCTTTAAAGTCTGCGGCCTTAAAGGGATTCCTGTCGTGGCAGGTGAAAGCCAGGATCGAGGCCCGCTCGGAAGCGCAGGCCAGCGGGCTGCTGTGGGCGGGGCTGGCGCTGCTGTCGGTGCAGGGCGGCGCGCTGGCCTGGCTCACCTGGTGGGTGTACTCCTGGGACCTCATGGAGCCCGTCACCTACTTCCTCACCTTCGCCAACTCCATGGTCTTCTTTGCATACTTCCTCGTCACCCGTCAGGTGAGTCCACCTTTTGCAAAGAAATTCTCCGCGAGTCAAGTCATGGGCAGTGAGACCTTTTACTTCCTCAATTACCGTCTGGGTTTCTGATACATTTTTGGTTTTACAAGGCTGGGTGGGGCTTTTTGTGAAGCAGAGAAACTAAAACACCTGGAGGGAAACGGCACCGCTCAGGAGCTCCTCCAGGGAGATAAACACACAGAATGGATGTTCTCTGTGCCCTCGTGAGCAAATGAAATTGGACCTGCAGTCCAGAAAGAACAAGTAGCTTAGCTTTAAGTTAGGTCCTGGTGATTTTATCAAAACCTGCCCTTTTCCGTCTCTCCTTGTGTGCCCGATCCTAAGGGGAGCAGCTGATGGCAAACAAGACTAAAGGTCTTCCCCTGATGCTTTGCTGTGGTGGCCACTGCAAATGTCTGCCCACGTCTCTCCGGGGCGAGCCTCACGTTGTACTTTTTTTTTTAGGATTATGCGTACTCGGCCGTTAAGAATAGGCAGTTTCTTCACTTCTTCCATAAGAAAGCAAAGAAACAGCACTTTGATGTGGTGCAGTACAACAAGTTAAAGGAAGATCTCGCTAAGGTACCTGCTGTGCATGGGCGTCTTACTCGGCCGTCACCTTGGGGGTCAGACCTTCCTGTCAGGGACATGCAGGTGGTGGCTGTGCCCACAGGTCAGGTCTTCGTCCTGCGCAGGACCAGCTTCCCTCCTCGAGTCCCTTCCCTCCTTTCTCCTCATCTACGTTTCCTCCTTTCTGGGAGCAAAACAGTGGCCCACTCTGACACATATTTCATCTCCTGGGTTTATGTTAACCTTCTCCAGGGGCCTGTGCTTCATGTGTTATGTGAAAATGTCTTCAGTGACTGAAAGTTTTTACTAAAAATCTCATTGTTTGAGAAAAAAGTGCACTGGCAGGCTTAGCTGCGTATCTGTGACGATTGAGAATAGGACTCGGAAGTGATCCTTCTGACGTCTCAGACTCTCTAAAGCACCGTGTGTCTCCTGAAAAACAGATGGCCATATACTCCTCCTCCTCCACTTTCCCATCTTTTGAGTGAGGCTCCAGGTACCGGATGTTTCTTACTTAGGCATACGCTGCTGGGAACTGGGGAAATCGGTCTGAACCCCAGAGTTGGACTCTCCAGCACTTCCGCATCAGCAGCTCTTATCTGTGGCCTCCAAGGGGCCATAAACTTTGTCCAGATGGTGATTTCTCAACAGCTAACTCTGGAACTCACCACGTGATCTTTTATTTTATAGCCGGCAATTGTCAAGGTGGTGTTACCTGTGCCTTTTCAGTGACCCGGCCCTCAAATTTAAAGAATGCTGGAGTTAAATTTGCAATAAAAAAATTACACATGAAAAGACTAAAATGTTTACTGAGGCACTGTTGGAAAAATGTGAGGTTTGTATTACAGGGAAATTCTCACACTGGAGACATTTTGTGTTTTGATGTAGGTCCCGTCTGTTTCCCCCAACAGGCCAAGGCGGCCCTGGAGCAGCTGCAGCGCCCGGTGTCTGCAAAGGCACGGCGAGGAGCCCCTCCGTGAAAGGCTCTTCCATGCTTTGGATGTGGCGGCGTCTCTCTGTAGTGTGTGCATTTTGCAACTTCTAGACTCCTGAGGGGCCGTGTGAGTGTTTCTACAGTCTTTTTGGTTAATAAAATCTGCCTGCAAAACACAGGAACTCTGACATCTCACTGAAGGTCTGGGGGAAGGAAAAAGGACACAGACGTAGGGGGAGCAGCACAAGACAGAAGAGGGAGCAGACACAGAGTGACGGGAGAAGAGAAAGGATCCAAGACAGGAAATGGGTATGGCTGCAGCGGTGGCGCAGCGGTTGAGCGCTGGGTTGCGAAGCTGCCCAGCCTCTGCGGCGCCGGTTCAATCCCCGGCTGCTCCCCGGCCACCGAAGAAGGGTCCTGCATGGCGCGCACTCTCTTGCGCCTGCTGCTCCCTTGAGTATACCGTGTGTGTGTGTGTGTGTGTGTGTGTGTGTGTGTGTGTGTGTCACCAGGTGTTGTGTTTGCTGCCCTGTGTTCCCCCACTGGTGGGTGACACAGGTGTCAGAGTCCTGTGTCTGGACGGAAGGCGCGCGCGCGCCTGTCACCAGGTCTTACCTTTGCTGCCCTAGGCCTTCCCCCACTGGAGGGCGACACAGGGTATCAGAGTCCTGTGTCTGGACGGAAGGGGCCCTGCAGTCCCTGCACAGCTCCACCCCACTCCCCACACCTCCACACACAACGCCCCAGCGAGCCTTCCCGGGTCCACGCTGCTCAGGCGGCTGTTGCGGAGCCAGCGCTGGGCCATCCCTGCGGTCCAGTCGGCCTCCCTGGGCCTTGCGTCTGTCCTGGAACAGCCGCAGCACACCAGGCGGCCTGAGTGCACACGAAGGGGCTAATTTATCAACCGTGTGGCTCAGAACACAAGGCTGAGGGAGATGAAAGACAAATTTAATAAAACATTTAGAACCACATAAGCATTTATAAAAACTGTCACAAAATGAAGTTAAATTCGCCAAAGATTTCAAGTCACCTTGGGATTTACCGTATTAAAAATCAAGTATTATAAACGCTTGCAGGATGGTTACTGAGAGATTTCCTGAGGATTCGTCCAGATCTAGCACCCCCTCCGCCCCGCGCTTCTGCCTGGGCTCCGCACCCCGGTTCCGGGGCGGACAGTCGCGTGTCTGCGCACACAGGACAGGAAGCGCCTGTCACTGAGACTTGGGGAAGAAATGCAGCTTCTTGGTGAGCATGGAGGCAAAGCAGGGTACCTGCTTCTTGCCGATGGCGCTGCGGTCCTGGCAGACGTCCACGCTGCGCCGCGACACCTTCCTGTTGACCAGCGTCAGCAGCTCCGTGAACTCCAGGGAGGCCCCGAACTCGGCCAGCGTGGCGCACAGGTCCTGGATGTACCACGAGCCGTTGACCGTCTCCCGGTGGGAGTAGTAGCCTGGACACAGACGGCGTCACACGGGCGCCCTGGGCCGCTCACCCCAGCACGGATCACGCGCTGCTGCCAGAAGCCCCCAGACACGCAGCTGGGGGACTTGAGGTTCCCTGGGGACTATCTCGTGGAAAACGGGGTGCATTCTGTAGGGTTGTGGGGCTGCCCCACCCCTGGAGCCGCGGCTCCCCGTGGCTGTAGGAGGCGCCTGGCGGCGACAACAGAGACAGCAGACACACTGTCTGGACAGACGTGGCTGAACGTCTCTGCCCCCACGTACCAGCCAGGGCGCCAGAGGCCACCCCCCACACACCTCCAAGCACAGGCAGGGGGTACACCATGGGAGGGGCTCCTCCAGGAGCTAGGGGCTTTCTACTGCACCCCAGCCGCCCTGACTCCCAGGACAGAGACATGTCCCCAAGTGTTCTAGTTCTGAAAACCCAGGGGGTTCCTATAAGGAACCCCAAAAGGCTGTGGGGAACAGTATGTTCTTGAAGGACAAAAGTACCAAGGTAAAGAACAGTGGAGTCCAGTGGTGGGGGGCCCTCGGCTACCCAGAAGGCACCTGCTGACCCTCTGGGGCCAGGCACGGCGGGTGCCCTTAGACACCCAGAAGCAGCCAGGGGTGCATCACGGACACCTGCCATATCTCCCAGAGGCGTCACTCACGTCTGCACCCACGGCATCCGCCCCTCCAGGAGCCCACCGACGGCACCCACCTTCTGCCACCGAGTAGCACATGAGGAAGTCGGCACCAGCGGGCAGCGTGTACACTGAGGCCGCGTCCACCTCCACCTCCGTCGTGCCGGCCACCGGCTTGGAGTCCACTTGGTCCATAGGCGACACGGGGACGTCGTGCTTGTCTCCCCGACACGCCTGCGGACAGGAGAAGCCGCTGCAGTGCCTGGCACCCCCGCCACATGGCAGGTCCCCGCAGGGCTGTGGAGCTGCGTCCCAGCTGCGCGCTTGGCTTCACACAGCTTCTGGAGCTTTACACGTCTCACCACAGCGTGCCGGGACGAGCACTCAGCCACGAGGGAGGACAAGACCCGCCCCGGACTCCTGGGAAGGACTTCTGGGGAGGACGCACTGTAAAGCCACCCAGGGAGAGTCTAACACTGGCGTGCACAGAGCCGAGCGCAGTGGACACCGAAGGGCAAACCGAAGAGGGCTCCCAGACTAACGGGCCGGGAGGCAGCAAGGGCCCAGGCGACCGGGGTGGGTGAGCCTGCAGACACCGGCGGGTGGGGTCAGCCCCCACAGGTGTCGGTGAGGAAGGATCGCCACCAGGGGCAGCAAAGGGGGCAGTGACGGGCGTTTTCCTGACGATTTTCTGTAAAGATCAAGTATTCTCAATGCTGTGGATGGTTACGGAGTGGTTTCCTGAGGATCTGTCTAGATCGAACACCCCTTCCGCCCTGCGCTTCTGTCTGGGCTCTGCACCCCGCTAAGGCAGACCTTCATGACCCTGCGTGTCTGAAGGTGTATTTTAGCTAATGATAAAATTAAAATCCAAAAAAGGAATTTCTGATGGCTGAACCACACCACAAGGGAGGCCCACGTGGCCCCTTCTTCACAATGAGGACAGGTGTGCCCCAGGGCTCCCGAGCGCTCAGGACTGGGCTCCCCGGGGGCTCAGCTTGCCTGGCGGCCCCACACTACTGCCCCCTGTGGCCTGAGATGACGCCACGGCTGTGCCTGATACACTCAGGAAGACGGGAAGTCTCAGGCACTCCTCACTCTGTGACGCTGCACAAAGGGTAACAAGGTCCCCTGACTCCCAGGGTGTCCCACGTGACTCCCGGGGCCGGGGCTTCTAAGCAGTAAGGAGGCAAGAGGCCACACGGGCAGGCTGGCCACTGGGCAGAGTCCGGAGGGCAGACACGCTCCCTGCCCGGGACAGGCCGCAGGCGTGACCCACCAGCCAACACCCCGACCCTGGGCTCTGCCCTCCAGAACTCTAAGGAACTCAATCTCTGCTCCGGGACGCGCCGTGCTCTGGCGGCCATGGAAACACACGGTCGCCCGGCCAGACTCGGCTGGCATCGTGCAAATGCATCTATCGGTTCGGAAAGGGCTAGAGCTTGGAAAGCAACAAAGTCCTGACTGATGTCAGAGCAGTCCAGGGTACAGAAGCCCCACGGCCCCGTCTGCAGGGAGACTGCGGTCTGGGGGGCCATCGGGCTGACTTTCAGACCTCAGTCTCCACTGGCCCGCTGCGCGGAGCGAAGCCTGGGAACCGTGGACCAGCGCTGCCGCCGACCGCGGCGAGTCCAGAGAGGACCTGGCGGACAGCTCGTCTGCATGTCCCTGAGGCCCCGTGAGACTCCTGGCTTGTCAGAGCAGGGCGCCGAACCTCTCGCCTGCACACGAGGCCCCACCACTTAATCCTGGTTTCCCAGACACAGGCTCGGGCACAGAGAGATGGACCAGGAAACAGGTCCCTCCTGGTACCCGTCCCCGACAGGGCCGTCCACACCCCGTCCCGTGAGGCAAGCGTGTGCTCCGTTTCCTTGGTTTTCTCCAGACCATTCCAGATCTTTCCTCATTGCTGTCCCTCAGTTCTGCCTTACACAGACACCCATCTCCTGACACCCCACTCACGTCTCCCACCAGGCGGTGGTCCACACTGGAAGCCACAGGGTCAACCGAGACTTTTCTGGTATAACACTGCCCCCCCCAACCCTAGCATCTTCCTGCCACGTGTGCCCGCCGGCGCTCCCTGCTCTCCTCAGCACACACCTCCCTGGTGGCTCCGCGCCGGTGCCGGCCTGGGCCACAGCCGGCTAAGGCAAGGCACGGAATGAAAATGCAGAGGTTCTTTGTGACCCACGCCTTCTGGTAAGAATTATCACTCCCAGCAACCCTTGTTGGCCAGGACTCGAAACCTGCCTCTGCAGGAGCCAGGGCAAGGTCCTTTGACACTGGCCTTCGCTCCCGAGCGCCACAGCGTGCGCTTCGCAAGAACACCGTCATCTGGCTCACCTGAATGATAAAGATTTTGGGTTTTCCCACAAGGCTCTGACACTTGTCCCCTTTGAACAGTTCAGTCAGGTAGGAGATCTCAATTATAGCATTATGCGCGTAGATGTGGTTGCCTTCGCCGTGGCTCAGGAAGACGCACAGGAAGCAGTCGGCATCCGCGTGGCTAGAGGTGGACACTGCGTTCATGGAGAAATGAAAAGAAGATGATGAGCTAGAGACAACTTACAGGAGAACACAATTCCACATGCATGGTTGGAAAAGGGCAAAATGTGTTCATCATGTGTAAATTATTGAATGCAGCCGTTCAGTTCTTCCAACAGACATTTACACCATGCTGACTCCGTCTCTACATCCAGACGACTCAGGTTCAAACAGCGCTTGGACAGTGGAAAGCCACTCAGAACAGTGGGAAGCAAAGGTCGGCCGCGGCACCCCAGGTGGGTTCCCTTCCCACGGCTCAGCTGCCCGCGGGCCTACGTGCGTGGACTACTGTGTGCGGGAGACAGCCACGTTCAGAGACCACGTTCAGAACCGTCCTACAGCATCAGCCCCGTGATTTCACCCAGGTGGCACAGAGAGAAAACAAATGGATAAACTAAATCAAACAGAAACGTCTAGACCGTGCGACCACTATGCGACCTCCAAGGGGGACAGGGGGAGTGGGCAGCTCAGGTGAAAGGGGCCAGTGCTGCGGTGAAGGATGGACTTGTGATTCTCAAAACCAACCAACCATCCTGGACACTGAAGAAAAAATAAAATCACAAGTGATTCCACCTCACAGAGAACTGTTGCTATTCGGGTGCATTTCCCCCTTTTCTATGTGTGCATGCTTTTAAAAAATACACTGCTTGGGGCCTCCCCTGGTGATGCAGCGGTTGAGCGCTGGGTTGCAAGGCTGCCCGCGGCCTCTGCAGCGCCGGTTCGATCCCGGCTGCTCCCCGGCCGCTCCCTGGCCACTGGGGGAGGGTCCCACATGGCGCACAGACCTCTCCTGCCGCCCGCTGCTCCCCTCAGCAGTGTCCTTCGGTCCTTCTGCCTGCTCTGCTCCCCGCTCTGGCTCTGGTGAACTCTCTCGCCCTCCCGCACTTCTGACTGTGCCCAGTGCTTGTATAAATAAATAAATAAATAAATCTTTAAAAAAAAAAAGAAAGAAATCAAAGGGTCATGTACTTTGAAACCAGTGAGAAACTGGAGTATGGTGAGACTCAATTAAAATCTGACTGCATTTTAACCACAAGTTCCATCCCTGGTCAGGAATTGACCCACATGACACAGCAGACGGCTCCTGACTCACCCGCTGCTCCCCTCACACACAGCAGTGTATTTCAGTCAGTCTGCCTGTTCTGTTCCCTGCTCTGTCTCTGGTGAATCCTCTCACCCTCCCACACCTCTGGCCTGTACCCCAGTTCTCATATGCATAAATAAAATAAATCTTTAAAAAAAACATGACTACATTTCAGAGTGTGCATCATCTACATTTTCCACCTTCAGTAAAAGAAAAAAAGTCGCCCGTCACTTCTAGAGCATCAGGCTGCAGTCACAGGCAAGTGTGAACTTTGGAGGTGGCTTCACATTCTGCAAGAATCTCCAAATCTAAGGGTGACGCGGAAGCAGGAGGCACGAGCAAAATCAATGAGAAAAGTGAATGATCAGGACCCGCCTCAACAGACGCGATAACTGCAGCGCAACTGTCAGGACGATGGAAAGGAAAAAACACAGGAAAGCACCTACCTTCGTAGATTTTCTCCAGGACTTCTTCCGCTTTGAGGTCGTTGAAGCATTTCACTTCGAATCCTAGATCTGAAAGCCTGGTGATAAACCGCATGTTAGCTCAGGGGCAGTTCGCCGCTGCCACCTCCAAGGAGTCCACACACATTCCCGACACAGAAATTCCCTTTTCTTTCCCGGGAAAGGAAAGCAAGCAAAGGTGACGCGGGCCAGCGTGACAGGGTGGATCGCCAGCCGCCAGCCCCGTCCTCAGAGGGTTTCCTCACAAGGGGGGTTCAAGTCGGAAGGTCGCCACCTCTATGCGCGTGTGTGTGCAGCAGTGCAAGCCCGGGCGTTGGGTACAACCCAGTAGGAAAAAACTCAGGCACGTTTTTAAGGGAGGCAGCATCCCAGCGAGGCCTCCTCCCACACTCCCGCGGTCCCCACTTCACCATCCCGCCATGTAGGCGAGGCGGGCGCTACCTGCGGGTGAGGTTGTCCCTGTCCGCGCAGGTGCCCCGCCGGGGTGGCAGCCCGAGGCGCCAGAAGAAGTGCTCGTGATTGAAGATGAGCGCGACGCCTCGCCTCTTGTGGTCCATCTTGTACTTTTCTTCCGGATCAAACGTTTCTCTGAGCGGGAAGTTGGCAAGATGGCCAGTTAAGTCCCCTGAAGTCACGAGGCCTCCAAACCGAGTGCAGCGTGCAGGGCCGCAGAGGGCCGGGCCTCCCCTCCTGCCATGGGCCACGCTGGCCGCGGGCACCCGGGACGGCGGGGGCCAGGCTGGCCGGGCAAGTGCTGAGTACAGGTGCCGGCGCCTCTCAGGGTCTCCTGAGCCCGGCGGACGACAGCCCCCGGCCATGCCCACTGCTCAGCCAGGGCCAGGGCGGCGGGAAACCTGCCCAGGTGCAGGTCAGCCCCAAAGCCCAGCACAGGCGCCCCGCAGGCCCGCTGGCAGGGCCCGCTGCTAGTCAGGGCACCCAGGGGAGCTAGTCAGGGTCCCCGGGAAGAGGCCTGGCAAGAGGAATAGGAGTCCTTTTACCTTTGATAGAAGCCATCCACTTCCGTCACGACTTCTTCCTTGCCTGTCACAGAAAAGTTGATTTTGCTCATTGGTTTTCGGGGACTGGCGTGGAGCACAGCAACTCCCGGACTCCCAGCTGTGGCCCCCGTGCTCCAGGCGCTTCCCCTGGGGTGTTTTCCCAGACTAAGTATGTGCAAAGCAGCAGTGAGGCCAGAGGGCGGGGAACTTAGTGGTGACAGTGAACCAGGAAGGAACTGCCAGCCCCATCCCCTCCCCCCCACTCTCACCTGCCAGCAGCCTGGGGTTTGCAGCCCTGGGCCCCGGCCCCACAGACCCCTCCTAGGCTGGGATCCCGCAAGCCCAGACCACAGCCATCCGCCCGTCCCAAGGCCACACCCAGCACATAAGGCAACCGAGGACCTGCACATCTTATTTAAAGTCAATTTATTTACACAGAACAGCCACATGCACCAGCGGCCGGTGCGCCGACCAGCAGGGCGAGTCCACCACCTGGTACTGCGAGGGCCAGAGCCCCCCAAGCAGCTTCCACCAAGAACCTCACAGCTCAGGGAGAGGAGAGAACGAATAAGCAAATGCTACCCAGAAAACATGGCCTGCTCCTCTTCCTCTTCCTCTTCCACTTCCCCTCATCTCTCCCCTTCCCGACAGTGAGAGGGCCTGGCGCCTTGGGGGCCCTTCCCAGCCGCAGTCAGCTTATTCCTTCGGAAGCCACTGGCTCAAACTGAGAACCAACCAAGACACACAGAGCCTCGCCCTGGCCCAGATGCCCCAAATGAGTCCTTTCATTTAAAAGATACAGAAATAGAGAACTTATCAGGTAAAGACTTAAAAACAACAACAGTAGTAATGGATAACGAGCTACTAGGTCAGTCAGAGGCAGATAGGTGCAAAATCTTAGAGAAGAGATCCAGCAACAGGGCCTCCCTGGTGGCGCAAGGGGCTAAGATGCAGCACCATGAAGCTATCACAGTCATTGCAGCAAGAGTTCGATCCTCACCAGGGAGATACCCACATGGCGCAGCAGACCTCTCCTGCCTCGCCCCAGTGTATTCCAGTAGATCCACCTGTTCTGCTCCCCGCTGTCTCTCATCCTCCACACCTCTGGCCTGTACCCCAGTCCCTGTATGCATAAATAAATAAATCTTAAAAAAAAAAAAAAAAGAGAGATCCAGGGACAAAGAGATGGAATATATAAAAAGACCATAAAAGGGAGATGCTGAATGAAAGCCAGGCACATTTAGAAAGTGCTTTAAATGGCAGAAGAAATAATTTCAGATGTAGAAGATTCAAATGAACAAATGACCCATTTAGAAGGAGGGAATGAAGACAAAGGAAAATTGAAGAAGCTATGGCAAATATCAAACCCAACTAGAAGAGAAAACAAGAATAACTAGGATTCCACAAGGTGAAGAGAGAGAAATGGAAGCAGTTATCCTATTCAAAGAAATAACAACTGGGAATGTCCCAAGCCTAAAAGTGATTTAAATACGGCTATCCAAGAGACAGTAAGAATACCCAAGTTTTTTTTTTTTTTTAAAGATTTATTTATTTGTTTGTTTGTTTATACATACAAGCACTGGGTACAGTCAGAAGTGCGGGAGGGTGAGAGGATTCACCAGAGCCAGAGCAGGGAGCATAGCAGGCAGAAGGACCGAAGCACACCGCTGAGGGGAGCAGCGGGCGGCAGGAGAGGTCTGCGCGCCATGTGGGACCCTCCTCCGGTGGCCCGGGAGCAGCGGGGGATCGAACCAGCGCCACATAGGCTGCAGGCAGCTTTGCAACCCAGCGCTCAACCGCTGCGCCACCGGGGAGGCCCAAAAATACCCAAGTTTTTAAATGCAAAAAGATTTACATATAGACACACATCATTACCAAATTATCCAAAATCAAATGTAAAAAATTTTTCAGGAAGCAAGAAGAAATTTTCAAAGCCTTCCAAACTAAAATCTCCCCACACTTCAGTCAAGAAGAGTGGAAGAAAGTGTTCACAATCCTAAAAGACAAAAATACTTTAGCCAATAATACTCTATCCTGCAAAATTATCATTCGGGTATGAAGGTGAAATACAGGTTTTTCCAGGCAGAGCTAACAGAATTTACCAACACCAGAGCTATGCTTCAAAAAGTGTTGAAAGTTCTTCTACCAGAAAAACAAAACCAAACCAAACAAAACAAAAAACCCACAAATTCCTAAACAAAATGACAACAGCAATACAAAACCAGAAGCATGAGCAAGAATATTATCTAGGGCCTCCCTGGTGGTACAAGGGGTTGAGCGCAACACTATGGGACATTCCACCGCCTCTGCAGCATGAGTTCGATCCCCCGCAGGCCAGGGAGCTACCCACATGGTGCAGCAGACCTCTCCTGACTCGCCCACTGCTCTTCTCAGCAGTGTGTTTCAGTCAAATCTGCCTGTTCTGCTCCCCACTCTGTCTCTGGTGAATCCTCTCACCCTCCCACCTCTGGTCTGTACCCCAGTTCTTGGATGCATAACTCGTGCTGCAGTGGCTGGGGGATAGCTTGATAGTGCTGTCTTTAACCCCTGCGCCACCAGGGAGGCCCCCTAATCTCTCATCTTAAGGAACTAGAAGAAGAACAACAACAAAACTCAAAAGTCAATAGAGGGGCCTCCTTGGTAGTGCAAGGGGTTAAGCACAGGACTGTGAAGCTGTCCGCAGCCTCTGCAGCACGAGTTTGATCTCTGGCCGGCCAGGTGAGCTACCCACATGGTGCAGCAGACCTCTCCTGACTCACCCGCTGCTCCCCTCAGCAGTGTATTTCAGTAGATATGCTTGTTCTGCTGCCCACTGTCTCTGAATCCTCTCACCCCCGCACCTGTTGTCTGCACCCCAGTTCTTGTATGCATAAAAAATCTTAAAAAAAAAAAGCCAGTAGAAGGAAATAAAAATTAACGCTTAAGTAAATGAAACAGAAGTCCAAAAGTCCAAAAGATAAATGAAACCAAAAGCTGGTTGGGGGAAAGAAAAAAAAAAAAAAAAAGACAAACCTCTAGCTAGGCTCACAAAGAAAAAGAGGGGAAAAAAACTGGAAAAATTTTGATCACAAATGAAAGAAAAAAATAACAGACACAGCAGAAATCCAGGAGATAAGAGTTTATTATTAACATTTATATGCAAAGAAGTTCAACAGTCTAGATGCCCTGGAAAAATTCTTAGAACTATATACAACCACCCAAGCCTGAAAAAAGAAGAACTAGAAAACTCAAGCAAGGAAGTTTAATGAGTCATCAAAATGCTTCCAAAAAGAAAAGCCCAGGACTGGAAAGCAAGTTCAAAAGCGAGTTTGACTAAACATTCAATGAGGAACTAATATATATCCTGCTCAAACTCTTTCAAAAAATTAAGAATATGTCCAAACACATTTTATGAAGCCAACATCACATTAATCTCAAAACAGGAAAAAAAAAAAAAAAGGCGGCAACACAAAAAAAGAAAACCATAAGCCAATCTCCCTAATGAGCACAAATGCTAAAATCTTCAATAAATTCTTAGCAAACCAAAATCCAACAATGCATGAAGAGGATTATAAACCGTGGCCAAGGGGGAATTTATTCCAAGTACTCCACAGGATGGCTGCCATCCAAAAATCCATCAACATAATTCACCACGTCAACAAGGAGGAAAATAAAAACCTTACGATCATATCGATGCTGAGAAAGCAATTCATAAAGTTCACCATGCATTTATGATGAAAGTCCTTGAAACACTTGGGATAAAAGGATTATATGTTAACACAATAAAAGCCATACATGATAAACCCTCATCATTGTCAATAAATAAATACCTGGGAATAAACCTAACAAAGGAAGTGAAGGGCTTAAAAAAGGAAAATTATGAAATATTGTTAAAAGAAATAGAAACCAGAGAAATGGAAAGGCAGTCCCTGCTCACAGATTAGAAGAATCGACATAATCCAACAGGTCATCCTACCCAAAGCAACTTACAGATTCGGTGCAATTCCAATAAAAATCTCAATGGTGTTTTTCAAAGAAATGGAATAAACATTGCGAAAATTGTATAGAACCACAAAAGACACTGGACAGCCAAAAGTCTCCTGAGTAAAAAGGGGAAGGAGAGGAGTTTTTACCCTTCCAGACTTCAAGCTGCAATATGAAGCCATAAGTAAACTGCATGGTAGCGGGACAAAGACAGTTACCCAGACCAATGGAACAGAATTAAAGGTCCAGAAATAAAATAAAAATAGATGATCAATTAATCTATGACAAAGGAGCAAAGAATATACACTGGAGCAAGGAAAGCTTCGTCAATAAATGGTGCTGGAACGTGGATGGAGCTAGAAGGAATGATGCTCAGTGAAATAAGCCAGAAGGAAAAAGAAAAATATCAGATGGTTTCACTTATAACAGGAATACAGGGGAACCAAGTAAAACATCAGTGTAAAAAAATAATAACAGTACAAAACACAACAAAGCAAAAACAGACAATTATAAATCAGAGACATCCTGCAGGGGAGGGGCAGGGAGAGGGATCCGAGGGAGGGAGGGAGGAGCCTAGGGACTGAGGTGATGGTGCACGGGTGCACTGGGGAAGGAAACTATGGGGACTACACCTGAGGGGGTGGGAGGAAGCAATTATTGTTTAACAAAAAAATTTTTTTAAATTTTAAAAAAAGTAAAAATAAAATATAACCAATGGGATCTAAAAAAATAGTAAAAATAAATGGTGCTGGGAAAACTGGACCACCACATGCCTTGGACACTCCTAGGCCTCTATGTCATACCACACACAAAGACAGTTACCCAGACCAATGGAACAGAATTAAAGGTCCAGAAATAAAATAAAAATAGATGATCAATTAATCTATGACAAAGGAGCAAAGAATATACACTGGAGCAAGGAAAGCTTCGTCAATAAATGGTGCTGGAACGTGGATGGAGCTAGAAGGAATGATGCTCAGTGATGCTTTTATCCAGTTCTAACTGGATAAAAGAGTTGAACGTCAGACCTGAAAACATTAATACATAGCAGAAAACACGGGCAAAAACACTCCATGACAT